ATGCTGACTTCAGGAACATACTCAAATTTTTAGGTTACAAATTATTTGCTAAATGTCCTCAAAAATTATTAGAAGCAATTTTTACAGTTCTACTTCCTGAAGAATCAACAAACGTAGATCATTTTTGAGACTTGCTTCCTCCTACAACAAATTTATACCAAATTTCGTTTCAGTGGTAAATGCTTTAAGAGACACAAAGAGCAGATTGTTATGCTCCATAAAAGCTTAAGAGCACTTTAAATAAATTTATCCTGTCTTACAGCAATAATTCAAAAATAAAGAACATCTAAAATTTTCTTGAAACAAAAACGTCTTTCAGTAGCAGAGAAGCATTTAAAAAAAAATCCTGTTGTGGACATTACATAACTTTCTTGTACGGCCTTTTAAATTATACACATTTTTTGCTGCACTTCATTTAAACTCATTTCCTCGAATTTCATTGGAGATATATTTTTCATTCAATTAATTCAGTTCTCATTTCGCAGCAAGGCAACATAAAATATAGGCAAGGTTACATAAAACTTAAAACATCTTTATTAAAAATTGTAATGGCTAAAAGGAGTTACAAAACAATTTTATAATTAAAATAAGAGTTTCTATGCCTACATTCTTTCTTTTGGTGCACAAAATTGAAAGCTAACTTTCGGTCCCATTGCATAAAAGGACACTGAAGTTTGTGCACCAACTAAGATAATTTAAAATTTTACCAAGAGTTTGAAATGTAATCAAATGACAGCCTTGTTAGGACTAGCCCATTTAAACTTTTAAATTGATAATAATTCTTCAACTACTGCAAGCTGATGATCTAAATGTATAAAAACCTTAACCGAACAACATAATTTAACATTTTAAAGACAAAAGATTGCACAATTTACCAACATATAAGAATAAAAATACTGAACTCACTAAGCAGAGTAATAGGGTGGGAACATATATGTATACAGTATAACTCGCTTATAATGAGCCCTGATTTAACGAGTATCTACACAACTGGTACATTTTTCATGATCTGCCATTGTTAGTATTTATGAAAGTGAATAAATGACGGTGAAATTAGCAGTAGATGCAAGGTGTTAGACATCCATGTGTCACAAAGAAAAAGGACATTGGAGACTGTCCCGCTTGGTACAGCAAAATCAGCGCCAGACCAAACATCATTGTCTCTGACCAAACATCTCTGACCAAACATCATTGTCAACTATGCCTACAGTGGGCTCGGGAACATACAGACTGGACCATGGATAAGTGGAAGACAGTTGCTTGTTTGGATGAATCATGATTTCTCATTCATCACGTGGATGGTCATGTCAAGGTACACTGTCTTCCAGGCAAACAGTTGCTGCCCCTCTTTACAGCAGGTCATGCACATGCTCATGGTAGTGGCAGTATTATGGTTTGACGTTCTAATGGACAGCTCTGGGACCCTTAGTTGTGACTGAACAGAACATGAAAACTGCAGACTATCTGAACATAATTACGGATTCAATTGCACCCTTATATAGCATCTGCCTTCCCAACTGGAAATGGAGTCTTCCAGCAGGACAACGACCCATATCACAAGGCTCGAATTGTGTTGGAGAGGTTCAAGAAGCATAAGGATGAATTCGAATTAATATTCTGGCCCTCTAACTTGCCGAATCTTAAGCTGATAGAGCACATTTGGGATGTCATGGAATGTCAGCTCAGGGCTCCGACACCACCACGTCAAAATATTTCAATGTTGTGTGACTGCTTAGACATTTGGTACAACCTCTCTCCAGTCATCTACCAAGAACTTCTTGTATCAATGCCAAAGTTAGTTGCAGCTGTTTTGCAGGCCAAAGGTGGTGTAATGCATTATTGAGTATATGGTCATAGTGTTTTGGCTCTCTCAGGGTATCTTCTTCTACCTTTTCAACACTGTTACAGAACAAGAAAAAAAATAATGACTGCATTCAATCAAAATAAGAATGACTGTAAATGTTTGATGAAATGTGCTAAAGAAGATATGGATGAAACTTTTTTAAAGTGGTTGAACGTGCAAGGTAATGCAGATTTTTCTGTACATAGTCCACTTTTAAAATTTCAATCAGAAAAATTTGCTGAACATTTTAGCTATTCTGGATTTCTATACTTGAATGGTTAACTTGATCAATTTAAGAGACATAGGATAACCTTTGGAAAACCTTGTGGTGAAGCAAAGTCTGCAAATACAGCAGATATCATGACATGGATGAGTGAAAAGTGGCAAGTCATCAGAGAAGGGTACACAAAAAGTGACATTTATAATGATGATGAAACGGGCACTTTCTACAACATAACCCCAGAGCAGACTTTTAAGTTCAAGTGTAAAAAGTGCGCCAGAGGTCAGCTCTACAAAAGTCCAATGAGAACTTTTGTGTATTCTAACATGTCTAGCACTGACAAGAAGGAACTTTTGGCTATTGGCAAGTTCAAAAAACCTAGGTGTTTTAAGCATGTAAAAAAGTTTCCTGTTGATTATGACTGCAGCAAGAAAGTCTGGAAGACTTCGGACATTTCTACAGAATTAATTTCAAAATGGAAGAGGCACCTGAGGAAAGGAAAGTGTAAAATTTTCCTTTTAACTAATGTGTTTACATTCCAAAATCAGTGGACTTAATAAACAATTGGATTGAATTTTTGTCATTGAATTCTGCAAGTGTTAAACAGCTTATAGGTCATCAGAAATTTTAAATCATACTCTTTGTTAAGCACATTGTAAATGCACTTGAAGAGAGTTACATAAGTTTGATGATGATGAATGGGGAAACATTACATTGAAATGCATTACCAATTGTTTCCAAAAGGTTGGATTGGACATTTCTCAAAAGAAAGAAAAATTGAGGAAGAAGAAGTAGACGACTCGGACAATTTGGAAATGAGTAGAGAAGAAATTGAAAATTATAGATCTGTTGATACCAATGTTTCTGACATATTTTCATTCATATTATGTTATTTCATATTTTGTAAAACTTTAACAAATTTTTGATTAACAAACTCAACAATTTAAAAGCGAGCAATGACAACAATCTATGGGAGGGAAAAAACCTTCTTGTCTGCAGCACGCGGAACTGTGTATCAGAAATTCTAAATATATGCTCATTTCAAAATTATTTTGCGACATTGCTATTGAACTGAATTTAATGGTTTAAGTGCAAAGAACATGATATTTAATAAACAAAGGTAACACACAAAACGTTAAAAAAATGCCTCTTTGGACGTAATTTAAATTCTGAAGCCCTTTCAATTCCTTTTTTTTTTTTTTTTTTTTTTTTTTTTTTTTGGCCAATGCATTATACAGTACGAAAAATGGGTGTTGCCCCCTTTCTCCGCAAAATCTCGAATAGTTACAGTTCGCAGCAAAGCAAGCAACTTTATATTTTTTTAATTAATTATTACTCTGATTTTTATCATCCTCTAAGTGAAAAATTCTTTAAAATAAAAAAGAGTTATTAGATTTAATTACCTCATAGATATGAACGCATTGTATATTTGCAGCAAGGATCATTAATAAAACATGAAATTAAATGAATATTCCCCCTTTAAAGAGAAGAGCAAACTAAATCGAAATGAAGTACTAGTTTTTTTTTGGGGGGGGGGGGGGTCACTTTCCAACCTGGATTGAATAGGACTAAAAGTTCTGCAGTCTATCAATCCAAGTGAAGAATGATTCTGTTCCGGAAATTTAATGCAGTCTGTTCAAAATTAGAATGGAAAACACCTCAGATTGGTAAATCTCTTTATTAATCAATATGAGTATGGTAGGGATATCGCGCAAAGCGCAACGTATCCTGCTCAATGATAAATATGCCACATGGGCACATGACGGTGAAAAGTATGAAGCAAAGGGGCATTTTCCTTTATTTAGTTATTTATTCTCTGAATACAGGCAGCTGTTGATTCTGATTGCGTAATATTAAGTATTGCGCAATAACGCTTGGGATATTTCGCAGAGATAAAACAGTTTTACTGTGCTTGCTAAGCGGATTATTTTTCAGTTCCATTGGACTATTTTTTATATGATGCACATATCGAAATGTCAAAAGGCATTATTTAGCTGTAAAATCTAAAGAACGGCTACAATCTACCCCTCTTTCCTCTTTTACCAGTTACGCTCGACTTTCCGGAAATTTCAGATATTCGACAATTTCCGAGTATGCCGGTTAGTTAAGCTTTTACTGTAAAAGGACGGCTGCATGAAGCAATTTCCCGTCTTCTGATTTCAGAAAAGTTCCTTTTTTTACTTATTTTTACTTAAATTACTTTGCTTGCAATATCTGTTAAGGGAAAACTGTCATACAATGAAAATTTAGAAAATGTTCAGAATTTTGATAATTAAAATTAGAATTAGAAGTTAAATTATTTAAATATTAATAGGAGTGTAAAAATAATTTGTATTTATTTTTAGGTATGAAGCGAATATAATAAATATGGCTTATTATTATTTATTTTCTTTATTTTGAACAGAAATTCCATCATTAAATCTTGTAATATAATTCTGCATAGTTTTTTTCCCCCTCTTATTGTAAACTAGATCTGTAAATTGAATTGTTATTTAAAATTTATAAAAAAGGAATGTAATTGCTTTTCATAGTTGAGTAATGCTCATTCTCTGTTCATAAATACTGAATTTCTCATATTTTAAATTACAAGTCTAATTTTTCTTTTAAGGTTATGCAGCTGTGTATAATGTAATTAGACAGGTGCTTATTTTTTTCTTAAAATGTGCTTGAAAAGTGCTCATAGGTGCTTATTTTTTTAACTAAAATGTGGCTATGAACCCTGTATATAAATTGTTAAATTCAAAAAATTATTACAATTAATATTTAGTAAACTGATAGCACATAAAACCTTTGCAGTAGTAAACTTTGCTCATTAAGTATATAAAATTAAAATAACTGTTCCTAATTGCTGGGTAAATATGGTAAATATTCATAATTATGTACCATGATTACATAGATATATATATCTACATAAAATTACTTAAACACAAAACATACCAACTTGCATTGTAACCCAGATAATGGTGATTCCACAAAAAACAAGGCCAAACATTTGAAGAGGAGTCATTTTTTTACCAGAAAGGAATTTCAAGAAATGAACTGAAAAAGGGAAGCATCAAACTAGATACATTATACCAGTGAAATATTGTAATTAATAACTATTTTAAAGAAGTGCAGAAAAATATCAGATAAAATAAATGCATACTGAAAGTGAAAGAATAGTAGTAACTGAGGCTATCAATCATCAAATATGAAAAATACATTTTAAAATACATCATAAAGCATTAAAAATTTTCAAGGTATTTTACTTAAATTATATGCTTAAGCAAATAATCAATCAAAGAGAAATTTTACAATGTATAAACTAAAAAAGAGAAACTAAAATTTTGAAAACATAAGAGTGAATTAAATTCAGTAATTAATTAAACAGAAACTAAAATTTGAAAGAATTCTAGATTAACACATAAGACCATGAAAGTCTTGAACATTAAAAAAATTAAGAAAGGAAAAAATATATACTATATGACTAAAAACCAATGATAATATGAATAATTTACAAAACAGAATTTTCCAGAATGCTGAAAATGCATTAAAACAGAAATAATAAAGGATTGGAAAAGTCTTCTAGAATCTAAATTCCTTCAATTCATATGTAAATATAAAATGCATTACTAAAAATTTATAATGTGTTTTGTTATGAATTACTGACGCTGAATGTTTACAGTTAAGTAAGCAATTTATGATAATGGAGAATTCTAGTTCTATTTGCTTTGGAAAGGAAATTTTTCAAACAGAAATTAATTTAGATTTATAATGAATAATGAAATTCCCAATGCAGCTAGTTTATTCTAAAATGAAAGAGCAAGCCTAGTCTGAAGCTAGAAGTGTTCAATAATCTTATCTACTTGACCACAAGCTAACTTTGCATGTTACAAAAAATACTTGAAATATGTATATGGATATGTAAAAATTAGGTAAAGCAACAATCTTGTGTTTGGTGTAGATTTTATTCGAGACTCTTTCAGTTTCGAAGAAAAATGGGTATAGGTCCCTTATAATCAGGAGGAAGCAAAGAAATCTGAAGGAAAAGCCACAGTTGTCAACTCTGGCTTTCCCTTCCTTGCAGATTTTGAGTCACAGGTGTACAACTGTGACCTTTCCTTTGTTACAGATTTCTTTGCTTTTGATGAAGAGGGGTGTACTTGTTTGCCCTCGAAATCAATAGAATCTTGATTAAAATTTATGTCAAACACAAGGTTGTTGCTTTGCCTAATTTTATGTTTTACTTTCTCTTCTTTCTTGGTATGAATATGTATATACTACACACAATTTGATTCATATACTGAAAACCTATCAATCAAAATAAATGACAGGAAGATCCAGAAGTGTGCAGTGATAATAAATGATATAATTAGCTGATTTCTACACTCATTTCATTAGAATATTATCCGAAATCAGACCTAGGCACGTAAAGGCAATAAATATAATAAAATTTTCATTCTGATGAAAAACTACTGAAAAAAGATGTTCTCAATGACTGTTAGGAAGAGCATTTGATAATGAAATCAGCATTTTGTATTTTATATATCCATGGTAATGACAGGCAATAAGTTCAAAGAATAAAAAAATCTGGTAATAAGCAATGGTACTCCAACTTTTATTAAAAATACTGCCTACACATTACTGATGTCATATTATGTTATTCTCCACAACTATTATCTACGAAACTAAATTTATGCATTTGTGTAATTAATGTGCTATTATTTGAAGAAGACATAATATCCACACAAACACACAAGCTTGTACACAATTAAAATTTAAGAAATCCACATATCACGCCAAGTCACTCAATAATCAAATGGTTAAAATCATGAAATATTCCTAGTGCACACTGAAATCTATTCCTGAAAATGGAATAAAGTTTTCCTAATTGGCTATTGAATAAAGTTTTCCTCATGTGTAACTGAAATTCAGGCTGATTTCCTTTAGCCAATCCTTTCCCATAAAATGTATCAATTCAATCTATGGTTATATATGTGATAATATTAGTTCAAATAAATGGCAGCTCTGGAACAAACTCAATTTCTTTTAATAATAAATCTGAGATGCTATAGTAACAAAAAATTTATTATTTTTTATAAATAAGTAACTTTAAGTAAACCTTACATATTATTCTTTAAAATTTTCTCTCTTCACTTTCTTATTAGTAAAGAACATTACTCAAATAAGCTGATTATTATCAATGAAGTATATTACTAAAATAAGCCAATTAAGTAATTTTAAAATAATTTTTAAACAAGAAAAAAGAATTTGAATACTTTAAAAATAAAACAAAGGAATGGTATTCTTGATTTTTTAATACAATGAACCTTTTCTAAGATTTTTTTTACTCACATTTCCAAAGATTTTGGTCTTTTAGTCACAATGGATTTATGCTCAATTCCAATATTCATCTAGGCTTTCAGAAATATTGGCCGCTTTCACAAGTAATCATCTTAGAGAAGCAATTGCCACCACAGATTTCATATGAGCACCCAATTATTAAAAGGAACGTAAATAATGCCAAAAATTAAAAAACAACAGATCTTGCAGAATTAGTCCAGGAATGGAAAATTATATCCTCTTGAATACCAATTGCAATATTTCACTTATCTTTCTCAATGGAATTTTTTTTTTTTTTTTCTCTTTACTTCACAATGCCCCATTCAAAATATTTAGCATAAATTCTGCTTAAATTTATGTAACTTCTATTTAAATTCCATTTAAAATTATACAGCAATAATATATACATACAAATAGCATATGTACATAATACATGATTTAAAATACTATAATGATTTTGAAGAATCTCAATATTTAAGAAATTTTGCTTGTACAGTGGAAAATGACTAATTAAAATTTTTTTGGAAATAACAAAAATAATCAAAAGCCAAGCTATAATAAATTAAGTAAATATAATTAGAAATAACATAAGCTGTTGCAAAACCCTAAATGAAGTTTATAATACTTGATCCTTTTTAAGCGTGATTTCACTGAACTACTTTTCAGCAGACATGACAGATACTGCTAATATATTTAATAACTTACAAAAGAAATTAATTTAAATTTCACAACATCTTGGTATTGAGAAGGATCCTCTTCAAATATAGAAATCAAGATTTTTATTCGTAAGGGCCAACTCTAAAAGGAGACATATCTCTGAGTATCTGCAGACATCTGTGGTGACTGCATCAGCCCATTTACAAAGGTAAACATATCTCTGGCACCTGCACTAAGAGTCATAATAATTGCACATGACGAGATATATTGTATCTGGCAACATATTTGACAAGAGTCAATGAAATTGTGTATGAAAATCATGTATCTAAAAAGAATAGAACTATTCTTAGCAGCTAGCTTACTAAATAACATAAGGTGCGAATCGTTTGTAGTTTCCGTTACTATTTTAACAAATTTCATTTATGATGCAACATTCCTTTTGGATCATAATTTCCGATTGATTTCTTTCAAAACAGAATATTTTTCCCCTTGATACAAGTGATTTGCTATTGTAAGCTATAGAGCAATGCATTTTTTTTCCTAACCCATTTGTTAGCATTAACTAAAATCTGTTAGAATATTTTTTCCTGTTTATCAAGATTACTGTATTATGCTCTGAGAATGTCTGACAAACAAAAAACGCTTAATTTGTCATCTATTTGCATTTTATTGTATTTTTCTTTTCTTATTACAGTCCATCGTGTCTTCGGCGATTCCAAATTATTGGTTTTCCAGATTATAGATCATCAGTTTAAATCTGGTAAGACAGCATGCAGAAATTATAAAATTAAAAATATGAAACCATAATTTATGAAATAAAGAATTATGATCTAAAGGGTATCAAAATTTACAAAAAAAAGCTTAATATTTATTTGTTTAATTAATTAAACATTTCTTTCAACAAAAGCATACATTACGCTTAGTCAAAATTAGAAAATTGCAACCAGAAAACTATTTGATGTGTATTCGTGATATTTATAATGATGAGGAATTTGATTTAAATCATATCAAAGACGGAGTACATCGAGATGAAATACTACATTTAGTAAGGAATTATAAGCCGAATAAAATAAAAACATCTGCCCTGAAGATTACGATAGTGCCGATAGATCAACTTCCAGTTCACTGCGAGCCGCGACGCCCCCCCTTCCCCCCACAACCACAGAGCAGCGTGAAATTGATAAACAGATTTTGGAATGGTTAGAGAAGCAGAGGATATGCCTTTATCCATTTTTTGCAGCAATTCCACTTTTTGTTTGATGGACATCAAAACATACTTTCGCTTTGTAGATCCTTTGGCAGCTTCAGAATCGGAAATTCTTTTTAACATAATCGAAAGTTCAAGCTTACTTTTATAAAATTGCTCTAACAGTCTGCAAAAAATAATAAGCCGGATCCAAATGTGTTGACGCATGCGCAGGAGGTTTGTAGCTTTGAGGTCTGGATTATGGACGTCCGGATTAAAGACATTTGTCTGCACAACTTATTTAAAAAATTTAGCTCTGAAAAATAAAGACATTGAAAATCTGCAAATTATTACACTTGTTGTGAGATCAGTGAAGGTCTCCTATTGGATGCAAATCTGGTCACCTGCTTTGATTGCTCTGATTGGCTTAGTAGCTCAGAGTAAATTAGATACAAAATCTCCTACTGTAGACATAATGTTGTCAGGTGACCTGTCAGTGACGGAGACTTGTTCAAAGACATGTCTTCTCATGTAAACGTGGAGTTAGGTGAAAAAATAAAAATATAGTACAAAATCTCAGATGAAAGTTATACCAGATGAACCTAAGATGAAGTCTACTTGAACAATCAAACAAAATTATATGCAAGATGTTTGAATAATATATGTAGATATATTACTGACAAACAATTGGTATGCAAATTACATTCAAGAAGTCTAACATTTATTTTTATAAGATAACTGCAAAAAATTTTATAGTCATAAAAATTCGATAATTAGTTTGGTAAATAAGTTTGTTAATTTTTAATTTTATTTTTTATGAAGCCATTAGGTTTTTATATTTTGTTCAAATTCTTTGCACAGCAATAAGCTGTAATTAAATTTAATAATATTTTAAGCTTTTTTTCAATAAAATTTCTATCATAGCGAGTTTTTCTGCCTTATTTAAATAACACGGTGTAATGAAAGCAAAAATTTATCTCACATACAAAGAGACACGAAAAATCGTAGGATTTTGATTTATTTTACAACATATAATCTGTATAACTTTTAATATGTTATAAGAACTGGAATCTATACTATCTCATGGTATTGAAAATGAGCTTATGTTACACCATTTACTAACATGATTATAAATAAGTAATGCAGCTAATAAATTGGTTATTTAATTAATGGTAAAAATAGTAAAATAACAACAATGCATTATTAAAACATATTTTTATGCTTATGAGTTAATCATTACTAACTAACGAATTCATGACAATTAAAGTAATAGCAAATGCATTTTTTTTTAAATTTATACCTTTTTTGTTTAGCTTCACATTGGTTGATATTTTAAATGTACAATATCAGATTTTATTCTTCAATAAGAATTTTGCCACATTAGCCCTATAAAGAAAAATGCATAATAAAGAAATATTCTTAAATTAAATAGTTTTTACAGTGATTATAAAAAAACTGATTTTTCTTAAGTTTACTCTCAAAACATTTACTAACACTTTCAGGACTATGTTACTGTAAATTATATTTCTCCTACAGAAACGGATTCCTGGTCTTTCCGCTATTTAAGAACAATTAACCTCAGTAATCCACAAATTTTAAATCTTCATCGTGACAGATAAAAGCATAAAATGGTAGCACAAACTCCTTCTACACTACAATCAATTACCAATCATTACTACTACCACTATAATCATTACATTACCATTACTTACTACACTTTACATTATCATTGCTTACTACAATCATTACATTATCATTACTTACTACAATCATTACAGTTAATTGATAACAAATATCCATTCTTATCACAGCACATGGATAAAATTCAATATCTGTATTGAAGATTGCTCCTATTATTGCTTGTTTACTATTATGTACAGGAAATATATAACATACAAATGCAAAACAATCTCTGTTCATAATATGATCCATATCAAGTATCTTTAACATGATACATGTATAACATAGTTCAATTTTATTTCTTCTTGCCATACTCAGATTGAATAATCTGCCAAAATTCCATACATGGAAGTTTTACAAACACATCAATTTTTTCAGACATGAACAAGCAAGTTTCAAACATGAACAATCAGTTTTTAAATATAATTTTCCAGAGTGTACATATGTTTTTTTAAATGTTTATTAAATTATTCTTAAAGAATGTGATACTCTGTGATTGAAATGTTTTTAAAAATCTTTTATAGAAGTTTTAATGGAAAACACTTTTTGTACAATTTTATTTGATTATATAATACAAATCTTTAAAATATAATTTTACCCTTTTATTTTAATACAAAGTAATTAATTTTGCAAAATAATACAGCTTATACTAAATTACATTTTGTTGTTATCACTGGTTTGTTATTTCTGCGTATCAAATTGTGGCTGATCATAACATAAAAAGGCACACAGAAAATCAAATTTTCGCTGTATCATAGCAATTTTACTTTTTCTTTCTTTCTTTGTGGGAGAAAGGGTCAAAAATTTAAATTCTTTCTTTTTAAAACATGCAAATTGTTATATAGCACCTGTATTTTATAATTTTTATGACAAATATAAAAATTTAGCAAGTTCTAACATTGAAAAAAAAATTCCATATAAATAGTGTTATTTAATGTAGGTTGTTCAGACAGAAAATCAGAAAAGTTGTCTTAAATATTGTGCACATGATCAATACCATTTTTTCAGCTATGAAGGTAGTGACTTTGAGTTACCAATAAATGTTATCAATGCACACACACACAAAAAAAAAAAAAAAAAAAAAAAAAAAAAAATATAGGAAACAGTTTGACAAAATGGATGGCACTTTAGGTATCATTGCCTAAACCCAAGGCCGGATTCAATCAAAAATTTCTAACATTAAATATGCAGAGGGGATTATAAAAGTGTAAGAGATTAATGTTCAGGCTAAATGCAGCGTCAGCAATCTGGCAACATTACATTGATGGACTATTCCAAGAAATGGAAGGGTGTAAAGTCTTCATAGATCATGCACGAATAGCAGAGTCTGATGATACTGCACATTTAAATACTCTAAAAAATTTTTTTGATAAATGTAAAACTGTTGGACTAAAATTAAATTTGGAGGAAAAGTAAATTTTTTCGAGATACAATTTTTAAGTAACAAAATTGATGCTAATGGTTTACATAAAACCAATGAAAAAATATCAGTGATTGCTAGAGACCCCAAGGTTTAGAAATGTCCAATAAATTCAAAGTTTTTTTGAATTAGTTAATTTTTATGGGAAATTTTGCCCAGATTTATCAACAATCTCAAATCCCTTATACCAATAAACTAAGAAAACATCAGATTAGGTTTGGACGAAGGACTGTCAGGAGGCTTTTAAAAAAGAACTGTGTTTGCGAAAAGTTTTGATGCGTCCGAAATTTCCCTTAGCTTTGGCAACTGATGCATCACCAGCAGGATTAGGTGCAGTACTTTCTCACAAGCTTCCTGATGGAACAGAAAGCCCAACTGCATATGCTTCTAGAACACTCACTGAAAGGGAGAAAAAGTATTCTCAAATTAATAAAGAAGCCTTGTCAATCATCTGGGGAACTAAAAATTTTTTTCTCTACTTAAAAGGCAGGAAATTTATGTTAATTACAGATTATAAACCTGTTGTTGCAATCTTTGGCTCAAAGAAAGGCAAGCAAATTTCGCCAGCAATAAGACTCTTGCACTATGCCTTGGCCTTACAGTCATTCCAATTCGACATTATTTACCGTAAAACAAACGAGCATGGTAAAACTGACTTTCTATCATGATTACCAACAAACTCAGAGCAACTGTCTATTCAGGATGATGCAACTATCTTTCAATTACAGCAGATTGAAACTCTTCCTGTTACTGCCAGAGGTTTGGCTAAAGAAACTGAAATTGATGCAGCACTCGGTCCTCTGCTACATATACTTGAAAGCAATGGCAAATTGAAAGGAAGGGAGATCAAATAGTCTCCAAGATGGCTGTATAATGTATGGCCAGCATGTTTGTATTCCAAAACGATACCACAAGAGTATATTGAAAGAGTTGCACCACGGACATTTAGGTACTGTAAAAATGAAAGCAGTTGCTAGATCTTGCATGTTTTGGAATGGTAGAGATAAGGATATCAAAGATACTTCCCAAAACTGTTTTGAATGTGCAAAACATAAAATAGATCATCTGAAGGTAAAGCTTTATCACTGGGAGTACCCGAGCACTCCAATGAAATGTATTAACATTCATTATACAGGACCTATTGTTGAGCATATGTTTTTGATAATTGTTGATACTCATTCAAAATGGCTAGAAGCCTAGACAATGAAATCAAGCTCAGCTTTTAAAGCAATAGAATGCTTACAGGACTTTTTTGTAGATTCGGATTATCAATATTGTTAGCGAGTGATAACAGGCCACAGTTCACGTCACATGAGTTTAAGATATTCCTATAGAATAATGGAATCAAACACAAAACCACAGAACCATTTAAGGCATCTAGTAATGGGCAGGCTGAACAGCAGGTGTTTACAATAAAATAATCCTTAAGAACCATGCAAAATTATCCAGGAACTTTGAGATAAAAATTCAGTACATTCTTAATGTAATACAGAGAGGCTCTGAACTTAACTACTGTACAGAATCCCACTATGCTGATGCTGAAGAGGGAAATCCGAAAAAAAAAATTGACTTATTGAGACCATATCTCAAAAGAAGGATAGAACACAGAGTAAAAGAACCTATGAGTTTGCAGACTGAGGATTTAGGGTTGGCGATAAAGTGGCATTAAGAAATTATCGCCAGGGCCACAGACGATGGAGATTTGGTACTGTCAAATCCAAGGATGGACAGCTACATTATACATTATTATTATATGTAAATTATCAGATTTGGCAGTGACATGTCGACCAGAGGTGTGATAAATGAACCATAATTGATGATGGCTGCATATGTCTACCTCCAGCTCTCGTGATTTCCAAAGAAGCGGCTAAGAGTAGAGTTCCAAAACCATCCAAAGATATAGCCACCAGACAGATGAGTCTATGTCGTCTTTTGAGTCCAAGATTTTACCGGAAGTTCCATCCACCGGACCTGTTGCTGATACAACCAAGTTACCTAAGAAACCAGCTGTGCCACAATCTTTGCATCGGTCCACCAGAATTCGACAACCCCCAAACAGACTGAATTTGTGATAAAAAGGGAGGGACGTAATGTATTGAGTAATTGTAGTCAAACTTAAAAATGGCATGCACCAAGCATCACCAAGGGTACAAAGCTATTGAAAATGATAAATGGCATTATGAATGCCAGTCACTGGTAGTGGTTCACTTGTATGCAAGAGAGGATGTTTTTTGTATATAAATAAAGTGTGTTGCAATTAAATACAGTGCCTTGTGCAATGATTATAAAATAAATATATTACAATCTGAGATTTCCAACTTTTAGTGCTTATTTCATAAATTTTCAAAATTATTAGGAAATAAATTTGACATTTTTACCTTATTTAGAGCCAATATACTGCTACCATTAACAGTATACATGTATTTACAGAATGGACTAAAGAAAGGAATAGTAAAAGATATTTTAACCAAATCTCAATATGCTGTCATCTTGGTTGTTGAAAGGATGTTGCTCATCTGGATATGCAGTCATGACTTATTGGTTATGTAGTCATAGCCATGACCCACTCACTAGAGGCCACCCAATATTATCTACCTACCTATGTCTGATATTATGCTTCATACTTCAATATCTCATGTGTGCAACATTAACCAAATCATCACATATATAAAGAGGGAAAGAGATAGAAAGAATAGAAAATAAAATTGAATAAAAATGAAAACTATAAAATGGAACCAATATCATTGCAAAAACAATTTAAATATTCTTTATGTAACAAAAGAGAACATTTTCTGTTATTACATATAATAACCCATTTTGTAATTTTATTGAATTTTAATCCACACTACATGAACTGGCACATTCTTTTTCATCATTCTAGATAATGGATTATAAGTGGCATCAGAGTAAAGTAAGATTTTGAAAATAGAGTATTTTGAAAATACAATAATAGGTTTGGAATGTTTCTTCCATAGTGAAAAAACATTTCCTTAAGATATTGATTTTGTACCTATTAATATTATTATATTATTTATAATTTATTATTATATAATACTACTGTATTATTAATCAATTTAAATATTTTCATTACATGGTACAAAGTCCGAAATCCGGATTCGTCGATTCCGGATTTGGGATTTTTCCGGATCATCAGTTTAAATCTAAGATGGCATGTAGAAATTATAAAATTAAAAATATGAAATTGTGGTTTATGAAATAATGAAGTATTTATGATCTAAAGGGTATCAAAATTTACAAAAAAAAAAAAAAAATTATTTATTTGTTT